GACACTAGTTACCCAGACCACTTCAGCTCAATGAAGTGGTCTGGGTGCCAGGTCCCCCAGGTTTTAATCCTTCAGATGTAAACAGAGCAGTTTCAGAGAAATGCTTTCCTGTGGACTGTTTGAATGCGCGCGTGGCCTTTGCCATGCATGCGCATTCCACTTAACTCGGGAGCCAACGTCAGAGTGGGAGGAGAGGTCACCAGCGCAGAAGGAGCCCAGCGCTGGATTAAAGTAAGTAACAGAAGAGGTTTTAACCCCTTCAGCGCCAAGGGAGGGCGGCCCTGAGGGCAGGGGGCCTAAGGGTTCTATAATAAGTTTGTTTCCCTGACACTATAGTGATCCTTTAAGAAAACTGGGTCAATTCTTGGATAAAATGCAAAATAAGGAGCAATCATCTTGGCAGCCAACAGAGCACCAATCAGCAATACGTTTTTGGTGAACTGCTGGGTTTAGTGTTCAGTCTATGGAGAGCTGCAGGGTTTAGTGTTCAGTCTATGGAGAGCTGCAGGGTTCAGTATTCAGTCTATGGAGAGCTGCAGGGTTTAGTCTATGGAGAGCTCCAGGGTTCAGTATTCAGTCTATGGAGAGCTGCAGGGTTCAGTATTCAGTCTATGGAGAGCTGCAGGGTTCAGTGCTCAGTCTATGGAGAGCTGCAGGGTTCAGTATTCAGTCTATGGAGAGCTGCAGGGTTCAGTGCTCAGTCTATGGAGAGCTGCAGGGTTCAGTGCTCAGTTTATGGAGAGCTGCAGGGTTTAGTGTTCAGTCTATGGAGAGCTGCAGGGTTCAGTGCTCAGTTTATGGAGAGCTGCAGGGTTTAGTGTTCAGTCTATGGAGAGCTGCAGGGCTCAGTGCTCAGTCTATGGAGAGCTGCAGGGTTCAGTGCTCAGTCTATGGAGAGCTGCAGGACTCAGTGCTCAGTCTATGGAGCGCTGCAGGGTTCAGTGCTCAGTCTATGGAGAGCTGCAGGGTTTAGTGTTCAGTCTATGGAGAGCTGCAGGGTTCAGTATTCAGTCTATGGAGAGCTGCGGGGTTCAGTATTCAGTCTATGGAGAGCTGCAGGCAGTGGCGTACACATGACCCATGGGGCCCCGGTGCGAAAATTGATCCGTGGCCCCCCCCCCGCGCGGGCCGGTGGGCATGGCGGTGGGCACCTGGTCGCAGGGGTTACAGGGCTGCGACCCTGCGACCGCGGTATGTACGCCAGTGCATGCAGATGCACACACACTTAAAGGACCACTCTAGGCACCCAGACCACTTCAGCTTAATGAAGTGGTCTGGGTGCCAGGTCGAGCTAGGGTTAACCCATTTTTTCATAAACATAGCAGTTTCAGAGAAACTGCTGTGTTTATGAATGGGTTAAGCCTTCCCCTATTTCCTCTAGTGGCTGTCCCATTGACAGCCGCTAGAGGCGCTTGCGTGCTTCTCACTGTGATTTTCACAGTGAGAGCACGCCAGCGTCCATAGGAAAGCATTATGAATGCTTTCCTGTGTGACCGGCTGAATGCGCGCACAGCTCTTGCCGCGCGTGCGCATTCAGCCGACGGGGAGGAGAAGAGGAGGATCGGAGGAGGAGAGCTCCCCGCCCAGCGCTGAAAAAGGTAAGTTTTAACCCCTTTCCAGAGCCGGGCGGGGAGAGATCCCCTGAGGGTAGAGGCACCCTCAGGGCACTATAGATACCAGGAAAAGCGAGCATATTTTCCCGCAACTTTATAATGTCACTAAGAGACCACTACAAGACACCCCAGATCACATCAGCTCAATGAAGTTGTCTGGGTGTCAGAGTCCCCTCTAATTTTAACCCTGCAGCTGAAAACATAGCAGTTTCAGAGAAACTGCTATATGTTTCACCTGAGAGTGAAAATCCTGCCTCTAGTGGCTGTCTCACGGACAGCCGCTAGAGGAACACACTGAACGTCCATAGGAAAGCATTGAGTAATGCTTTCCTATGGGCGGTTTGAATGCGTGCGCGGTCGCATTCGGAGCTGAGAGGCTGAGGATCCTCAGCGCCAAGGGAGTCCGGCGCTGGAGAAAGGTAAGTGCTGAAGACACACACACACACACTTACAGACGCATACACACTAGCTAACAGACACACATTTACTGACAGAGACACAGTCAGCGACAGACATACATACACACTCACTTACAAAACATACACTCTCATTGACAAACACACTCACTAACAGACATCAAACAGACTCACTAACACACACACACACTCAGTAAGACACACACAGTAACACACTAACACTCACTAGCAGACACACACACACTGACACACACACACTAACACTCACTCTAACACTCACACTAACACTCACACTAACACTCACACATGATTTTTTTTTTTTTTTTATATAATCCCCCCAGCCTCCTTACCTCTTGGAGTGCTGGGGGGATTCCCTGGGGTCCAGTGGGGCTCCTGGGCGGGTGGCCGGTCGGGCAGGCGGGCGCGCGAGGGAGCTGAAAAGGAAGCACTGAGTGCTCCCTCGCGCGCCCGCCTGCCTGCCCGCCCGGCCACCCGGTGACAGCAGGGCCAGCCTCAGGGGGGCCCTGGGGTGGTCGGCTCCTGGGCCCCCCAGGGGAAGAGGCTGGCCCAATGGCGTACATACCGGGTCGCAGGGGCGGCCGGGCCCCCTGGTGGGCCGGGCCCGGTCGCAGTCGCGACCCCTGCGACCCTGGTATGTACGCCAGTGTATATATATTCCACAATGAAGGCTGCATTCCACAGTCTATATTAAAATCCAAAACTTTTATTGGGTATGCATTAAAATGCATGTTCGTTTCAGCCCCATATTGGGCTTTCCTCAGGATCAAAAAAACGAACATGCACTAATGGCCACAATTCCACCTTGTATATTATAAGAAGGATAATAAGTGATTAGAAAACTCACCCCAGCTGAAGTGAAAGCCCAGCTGGCGTCCCACTGGTTGCTGTGCGCACATGCAGGAGTATCCAACCCGTGCTGCATAGCATCATGACGTCACACGCGTCTCCACGGCAACGTTGAAAACTGCAGCGGTGCCATGGCAAAAGTGAAAAAGGGATGAGATAAACTGGTTAAACCAGAATGTTTGTTTATAAAAGGTAACCAGTTTAACCAGTTTATCTCATGCCTTTTTCACTTTTCACAGCTTTTTTGTTTTGAATATTTTTATTTTAAGCACATTAGGAATTTAGGCATCAAACTGATTTATAATAAGGCAAATGATTGCCCACGCAGGGGCTGCAGCATTGATCTAACACAGTATTCCTTTGGTTGCCTGCGCAGAGGCGGATTTGTTTTAAATGTTTCATTTGTATTTGGTGTTGCAAGTACAAGCAGGTAGTCTTTCTTGTTTCATGGAAAGCTTATGGTTGCCTGCGCAGAGGCGTTTCAGATAAAACGTGCTGGTACATTAGGAACTAGGATTTGCAACAGATACTTGCTCTACTAATCCACATGACTTCGTTCAGGTTATGGATTTAGACTATTTTTCCATTTGTCTTGTTGTTTGTCATCTAGCTGTGTGTTGCTAAGGGTAGACAGGTAAACGGAGTCGTTACCAGAGAGGCATGGTGGTGATGGCGTGAAGGTCTAAGGCTAGTCTTGGGGCGTGATTTCCCATTTCCCTTGGGGGCTTTGGTGGGTATTCAGCTTGTGTGTCTGTGGATGGCGCGTTGTTTGTGTTTTGTCTCTGTGCGTGGGGCGTGAACCGTGCCCCAGGTGGTGATTGTCGTCATTGTTTTAGGTTGCCCGGGCGGTCGTTACGAGGCCCTTTGTGGCTGCGTTGTTTATGTTCGGTGTTGGTGGTCTAGGGAGGCAGTTGTTGTCCAACCTATGTCTCTGATGGCTGCTGAACCCGTGTATGTATGTGTATGTGTGGCTATGCTCCTTGTGGCCGTGCCTTGGATTGCTGCCCTCTGGTGCTTATTGTCGCCTGCAATTGCGTTTGGGTTGCGTGTGGGGGTATATGGCTTGAGTGGGCTGGTCGTAGGGTGCAGTGGTGCCCCCTCCTCTGTGGTAGTGTGTGGTCGTGGAGTCAGGTCTTCATGCGGTGGTGGGGCGTGGGTCTGAGTCTCGGATTAGGCTGGTCCGTGGGTATCTGCCTTTTGCATTGGGGGCTGTGGCCCTATGTGGTCCAGTCCGCAGTGTGTTTCTAGTTGCCCCCCCGTCAGTGAGTGAGTGGTGTGAGGTCGGCACCCGCTAAGGGGGGCAAGGGAGGGGTGTGTGGTTGAGGGTAACCCACCTTTAGGTCGCCCCAGGTGCA